GATCTTACTTCCTGATTTTGGTTATGAATTATAACTCACTTCTACTTTTCTTCACTGTAAAAGCTGACATTTCTCAGTTAACACAGTGATCAATACCTTGATCTACCCTAGAAACCTTTCGAATAATCACTGCATCGCCCTGATTTGACACAATTGACTATGAGTAACTGTACCCAAACATTATGAAAATGAGGTGAGATCTTGCATCAATTCTGATTAGTTTAATGATGAATATATATGCTGCTCAGCTTACAACTATATGTGTTTAGGAAATCAGGTCAGCAGGTAGACAACAACTTAGCCCCGTTGCAACACAGAAGGAATGTGGCTGAGTTTGTCATTATGCCACATATTACAAGTTTATCAAATTGATATGCATGCACACAATGCTGTCCCCAGATACAGGTAACCAGGTAACTCATGAATACTGAATTGAGTGACATTTATATATTAAAATGACGAGCTTTCCCTGCCATGAAGAAATGTTACAAGGGTGACTGAAGGGAGTAAAATCAAAACATGTTGACTTGATATTCGAACAAAACCATAGGTAATCATTGCAATAAAAAGTCCTATTGATGAACTCAAACCCCACAAATAGCCCTGATTAGCACGACTCAAGTGAAGTGACCTGTGACCCTCTGTCCAGTTCACCCCACCATCAGAACCACTCATGCAGGCAGCACACCTGCACCTCATTCTCAGCCATAAATAGCAGTGTACAGTCATCGACACAGGCTTCAAGAGGAATTTTATTGAACCGAGAAGTTTTCCTGATTACCCACACATGAATGCCTTTTGAGAAAAACCCAGTCAGTTCATGAAATTTATTGTTCAGAGCAAATTGAATGATAATTTGAGAGAGAGAGAGACTGTACAATATTTTCAATAATAATTTGACAAGACCTATTACTTTCATTCATTATTAAATATTTTGGTTTTTCAAATATTACAATGACGAGTGTAATCACAATGACGAGTGTAATTGACTGCTCCTATATACATTTTTCAGCCCTGTTAGGTCAGGTTACATAAGAATCATCGTCACCAGAGACACAATGCTACAGGAAATAATTGTTGTGGTTTACAAACTTAAGGTTGCTTGATAAATTATTTTTGACTTGAGTTTGCATACACTTAAGACATGCAAGATAGCCATTTCATATGACATTCAGTAACTATTCAGGACAACACAGACTATTTGATTCCTCACACAACACACAACTACCTGTCTGGGATCCGTGGTCAACCTGACATTTTTAGAACACAGAACAGAGAACGGAATCATATTAACTTTGTTCTGAATTGAACAAATGTCACTGTTTCAGCTTGGAGATATTCCATGAGGGCATAGTGATCCTTCATTTTAGATGGGCTAAGAACTGATCTGGATGATGAGCTGGACACCTTTTGGATGGAAAGTCAGATGGTTGCAAGATGTATATAAATCAGCCAGTGCAACAGCGGTAGAAACTAACATTAGTCCCTGAGTCCAATTGATGATAACACAATCATAGCAAAACCGTTTAAAATGGCAAATTTCTACTAGTTCTTATGATATTGGGCAGTTTGGAAAGGGCTACAGGACTAGTGTCAATTTCAAACACTGTGCAGTCGTACTAAGTGGCCCATTCTGACCAGGAACTACTTGCAAGATCAAAGTGACCTTGTGAAGTTAGATCTACAGAATACATATGACTTATTAATAGCTTTGATCAGCCACGTACTGAAATAAACTGGTTGGTTTTAAACACAATATTTGTTTCATACAAGTTCATTCAGGTTACATGTTCTACATGCACTTTCCGCATATTTACACATCAAAAGGCCTGTATTTTCATGATTTCAAATGATACTGCCTGTTACTGTCAACTTATCACAATAGCGTACTATACTATTAGCAGGAAACAGAATATGATACCAGCCGAATTCAAATATACTTCCACAGAGTTCTCAATGGACAGAGTTATTGATGATATTTGGATATCATCCATAAGCAGGTAATAGTATTAATAAATATTCAAAAGAAGAGTTAATACTGGTGAATCAATGTGTTGTGACATTTGGTTTCATGAAAGAGTACATATATACATACAAGCAGCGATTATTAATTGCAACAGTTAATAAGTTGTGTGACAGTGATGCAATCTAATTGAACAAAACACTATATACATAATAGAGGCATAACTCAAGAAGTATTTTTAGAAATGTATAATACAAGATGGTACTTATTTTTGGTCTTCTTTCTTCTAACTTTCAAACAGACACAGACCACAGCGTGTTAACATAAATCTTGTCAACTTAAACATACAGACATCTTCAATCCATTTGTTGATCACATTATTAACCCCTAGCTTGTCCAGCCCTGGCTCAAGTACCCTACTAACTGCAGCGTGTTAACATAAATCTTGTCAACTTAAACATATAGACATCTTGAATGTTCAGACATCTTCAATCCATTTGTTGATCACATTATTAACCCCTAGCTTGTCCAGCCCTGGCTCAAGTACCCTACTAACTGCAGCGTGTTAACATAAATCTTGTCAACTTAAACATATAGACACCTTGAATGTTCAGACATCTTCAATCCATTTGTTGATCACATTTTTAACCCCTAGCTTGTCTTGCCCTGGCTCAGGTACCCTACTGACTGCAGCGTTTTAACATAAATCTTGTCAACTTAAACATATAGACACCTTGAATGTTCAGACATCTTCAATCCATTTGTTGATCACATTATTAACCCCTAGCTTGTCTAGCCCTGATTCAAGTACCCTACTGACTGCAGCGTGTTAACATAAATCTTGTCAACTTAAACATATAGACATCTTGAATGTTCAGACATCTTCAATCCATTTGTTGATCACATTATTAACCCCTAGCTTGTCTAGCCCTGATTCAAGTACCCTACTGACTGCAGCGCGTTAACATAAATCTTGTCAACTTAAACATACAGACATCTTCAATCCATTTGTTGAGCACATTATTAACCCCTAGCTTGTCTAGCCCTGATTCAAATACCCTACTGACTGCAGCGTGTTAACATATATCTTGTCAACTTAAACATATAGACATCTTGAATGTTCAGACATCTTCAATCCATTTGTTGATCACATTATTAACCCCTAGCTTGTCTTGCCCTGGCTCAAGTACCCTACTGACTGCAGCGTGTTAACATATATCTTGTCATCTTGAATATACAAACATCTGGAACATACAGACATCTTCAATCCATTTGTTGATCACACTCTTAACACCTGGTCTTGCTAGCCCTGGTTCCAGTACCCAACAGGTGCAGTGATTTGACATATATCTTGTCATCCTGAACCAATTTGTCGCTCGCACTATTAACCCTGGGTTGTCTAGCCCTTGCTAAGATGGACAGGCTACAGAGTGACAACATAAATCTTTTTGTCTTGAACCTACTTGTCGCTTACACTATTAACCCCTAGTTATTCTAGCCCTGGCTCAAGTACCCTAAAGGCTGCAGTGACATCACATAGCCAGACCTTGTTATCTCAAACATACAAACATCTTGAACCTTTCACCGCTTAACAACTCAACAATTTGACTGTCAAGGTGCACCAATACACAACTGAGGACCTACGTCTTACTACTTGGATGGTAGTGATGTTCACCTTAACCAAAAGCTTAAATAAACACAGGTTCCACAATATGACTTAAATATCTATGTGAAACATCTGTTGATTTTTGGTCTTGGTACTTAGGTCAAAACCATTATTCCCATACAAAAGTACTGACAACGTGTATTTGAACTCCCTCTCACTACTTCCTTCTTCATTACAGATTGTGGGAGATAAGTTAATCTTAATCTTGTCATTTCCTGAAGGCTTGATGGTCACACAGGTCACCCTGCTGTCAGGTCATCCTCTCTTTTGACCATCACATCGATACAAGGTCACGACTACTCCACAACCTAGTGTGTTGAAATCCATCCTGAGAATTATCTGAGTCCTACATGTCCTTATCCTGTTATTGGCACAAGCAACTTACTGCAAGGCCCCAATATGTACAGAACATACAAACCATTCAAAAGATTATCATTTGGGGCAATTGGACTATTGTTATGCATCTTTCACCAAACATAATATATTCACTTGCAATCTGTCTCCACACAAAATGTATTTGAGACAAGACTTGTTTACAATGACAGGTCAATAGTTCATGATTGTGAGTTACCTCAACAATTGATAGCACTGTTTTTGTGTAATGAGGTGAAGTAAATAGCAAACTGACAACAAATACAGTACTAAGGTCATATGCAGAAAGGACACAGGACCAATAGCAGCTATGGAATGTTTTTTTTAGATAGCTGACAAACAGAAAATATTCTAAACATTTGATCAGTTACACTAGAACTGCGAGTAGATCATTAAACACATATTACTCCAAAGGAAGTGTAAGGCTATCACAATACACATTCAAATTCATGTAAATAGGCAATTTGATAAAGAGAAACAGTATCCTAGATCTTGATATCAATTAGCATATTATATTTCCATAATCATAACAATGTGACAACTTCCAGTACCTATCTACTGTGGTTTATCTATTAACCTATCTACAAAGATAACATAGTCTGTATAATCCAGCCTGTCAATCAACACACTACATACTGTCAATCATGACATATAGCTCAGTATGCCATAAATGTAATTAGGTCAATATTTGTGCTAATTATAGCTGCTACAGCAGAAATGTTGACTCCACAGTGTAATCTGGAGTTCTGCTAAGTTTGAGATCATTTAAGAAACATTATAAGAGATTAAAGATCTGTTACTTTTTATAACCCGTTTGGGAAGCTTTAAAATGAGGACAATTGTCTTAGTTTGTGAGAAAAGTGACCTATATATATATATCAATGAGAAGCCTGCAAATACTTATTTGCTATTGCTGGTGAATCATAGTCATAATACTGTAGTCTTTTCATAACTGTCATATGAACTCTGCAAGTCATTAACAGGCCAAATGATACTTACTCTTTCCATTTCCGTAAACTCGTCATCGAGTTCTGTGCCTTTGGCTCCGCCAATCTTTTCACTGACATACTGCAACAAATGAGGCCATCTTAAAGTAACATTTTGGATAAATAATGCTGCAGGTTGAATCACCAGCCAGAACCATTCACTTGGAAACAATATTCTTATAAATGTTGTGCAAAAAAGTCATAGGTAGGAGACATAGTGGTCAAAGTGAGAGTAAATTATGAGGACATTGTCAATTGATATATTTGGCAAGAAAGTTTTGTTCAATACAGTTCAATGAGTAATACTGTGTGAAGCATATTCATAAGGATAAAACTAAGATTTCAAACTGGACAAGAGCACCTATCTGACTAAATAATCTGTTTGATTTGAAGATCATACCCTTTATAAGGAACTATTGCACTGACTTATTCACTGTCAGTAAAAAACACCAAATATAATGTACAGACAACAACGAACTTGGAATGTTTTGTCATAGTCAACGTGTTTTTTAACTGGCTGTTTTTTTCTCAATCACGATATATACCAATGTCTCAAAACATTTTCAGCCTCACATTGCGTATGAACAGGTTGTCAACCACCTGTCAAAATTATACAGTAAACAATTATCCATAGAGGGTGGCGATTTGATGTATAATACTGCGAAGAACACAGCTATGACACATAACGGTAGCCAACTAGCACGAATCTTCAGAATCAGTGAAGGGTGACACGGTGCGGTGGCGAAACACAGCCACTTGACTCCGCCAGATTGTCAAAACACACGACTTGTCAGATCCTTCTCGTTCCCGTTACTCGTTCATTTCTCTATACATATGATTTGTTTTATCACCATACCTGATTGGCCTTGTTAAACTGTTTCTTGAGTCCCGCCAACGACATTTTGACAAGCGTGAGAGACTCACATGCGTTACAATACTCAAACACCCGTGATTATTTCTCTAAGCGAATTTACTCCCACCGACGGGGCATCCCTTTAGACGTCATATGGATCGTACTATCCTTACGACTAATGTTTAAAGAAGGATGCATGCATAAACCTTCTGCTGGTTTCCTTCGATAGTTACAATTTCAAAGTGTCACTATGTGAAAAAGGAGAGAGAACCAAATTAAGTTATGAAATTTTTAGTTTATCAATATGTCAGATGTTCACTGGCATACTTGATGTATTTATTCTTTTTAATAAGGTTATTATCACTTATTCAAAATCTATACGAGTGTTATCAAATAAAAAGTAAACTTAAATCAATTTCCATAAGATGTTGTGCCATTCATAAATTCGATAGTTATTATGATAAAAGATAATTTATTTTAATTGTGAATTCATTATGGGATACCGATCAAAGGAAATGGCTACGTATCAAGGACGGCAAGATTCTTTCTTCTAAAGACTTGCTTCCATTTCGACATATTTAAGAGTAGTTTCTTGTTGGTAATTTTACTCACAGCAAAACGTCACTATATCTGCTACGACATTGCACAAATGACTATGAAAAGGCAACAAGCCTCCTAGATATTGTCATAAGAAGGACAACAAAATTAATTTAAAAATATAACTATGTCATCATAAACATAACTATCTAATCAATCGATGCCATGTTCAAATCACACACATAATAATTAAACATATTTGAATGATGTGTCACTTCCTCTTTGACCAAAGTATCAATTTGTGTAGAATAATAATAATGTATTGTCGTGATTGACGTTGTCGTGTTATCTGCTTGATATTCCCTTGTAACCAGTCACCAGACAGTTCATTAGACACACTGGTTTTACTTCTCACTACCCGTCCGCTGTTTGTATTTCTGTCGTGGTGTTTGATCACACCTGATCGTTGGGTAACTAAAACAGTCTGGATGTATCCACAAACACATACTGTGTGTTGCCATTGTTTGCAGGCTGTCTTTAAGCAGGCGGTGTCTCTTTTACACACTCAGCATCACACACAGACATAATCACTGTAAGCAATACTACATCCGATACACCCCCTCCATATTGTCGTAGGTTCTACTGTGTGGCTTGTGGATATATGTCAATACATGGTGTATACAATACATATACATTTCATGTTTACATGTTTTAAATGACAAACCAGCACCAATCCCTCACATATAAATAGGCCTAGATCAAAATTTATCCCTCGAAATAAAGTTATCTTATTTAAAAATAGATATCCACACAAAAAATAAAAATAAACAAAAATTAAAAAATTGAGTCTAGAATAATGCTTCATTTCTAGACTTGCCCAATCATTCTAGACTTGAGTTTGACTCCTTTTTTAATATATTCTGTAGGGTCTGGGAGACGGATTGTAGGCTCTACAGGGGAAAGGGTGTTCGCCGTGTATTAATGAGATAACATTATTCAGTTCCCTCATTTGTTCAACCCCCGTCTCAATACAGACAAACCAGTGGATCGGTAGGATACAATGTCCGCTGTCCGAGTGGGGAGACCAACTCTCGTGAGAGCTGGGGCGGTCGGGTAGCCTAGTGGTTCGATTCCCGACATGGGTACAATGTGTGAAGCCAATTTCTGTCGTCCCCCGCCGTGATATTGCTGGAATATTGCTAAAACGGCGTAAAACCATTCTCACCCACCCACTCCAATGGTTCAGAGAACACAAGTTTATTTTATATTAATTAGTATATTTGAGATTATTGCAATTGGCTCTACATGCAACTGACATAAGAACTTACTGATATTGGTTTCCAATGTTCTATTGATATGTTCCCAGTGTTCTGTCGATATGTTTCCAGTGTTCTATCGATATGTTCCCAGTGTTCTATTGATATGTTCACAGTGTTCTATCGATATGTTCCCAATGTTCTATTGATATGTTCCCGGTGTACTATTGATATGTCCCCAGTGTTCTATCGATATGTTTCCAGTGTTCTATTGATATGTTCCCAGTGTTCTATTGATATGTTTCCAGTGATCTGTTGATGTGTTTCGTACAGGCTGCAGCAGAATGGGGATGGATATTGTGTATGCGCTCTGGGGTGTGTAAGACAGACTTACATCGAGTAGAATTATCCACTGTGCAGTGATGTAAAATAATTGGAATTAAGTTTTGTTATAACTAGCTACTGACTATAACTGCACTCAAGCAGAATGTAGTTAAGGAGGGAGGATGTGGCATTACTTGCTGGATGTAAAACAACATTCACTCACTCATTCATCATTTCAGTTTGTATATTTATTTAAATGCCGTTGTTTGGTTTCGTGAATATCGACCATAGTCACTATGCGTGAATCACCTGTGAAATGGGGGACATGCAGATAATCTTAAAGTGGAGACTCGAGCCCGATAAAAGCATGCTGTCCGAACTAAACATTTTACTCTTCACTAATGACACCTACACAAGTTGCCTCCCCTGTGTTACTATTTATGAAGACATTTGATTAGTTGTGTGCCAAATAGAATAATTTATTTGGTCAGAGTAATTACGCAGAAAAGAATAATATCATCGAACGATAAATGTTTTTTTAAAGTACGTAATTTAGGGTACACATTTTCTTCATGGTATATTTTACTGTTGCATGTCTTATAAAAACAGTAGTGAGAAACCTAAAAATACTAGCCAATCATTTTATCTCTCTGTCAATACTCCGTGGAAAGGCGCCAGGGATGAACACACAACATTCGCGCCAAGTGTGAGCATTGTCATGTCGTGGTAACATAGTGAGGCTGGTCACCAGTTCTGTTTGTGTATTTATGTTTTTAGGTAAACGGGCTTCGCACCTTACTTTGGAAAATGGCACAAGTGGCCAGCTGTGCCGAAAAACATGTTGATCTACCAGGTGAGTACAGCTTATTGCGACTAACTCCTAAAATATGATTATAAATGGAGTTCTAAGATTGACGTTTCTGGAAACGCCAATGTTTGCTTTAGCTACATTTATTAACTGAGCTCTTATTTTGAAGATACACGATTCCAGTACGGCCCAGTACGTTTTCCTCACAAAATAATGTGATCGTTCAGAATTCTGAGTCCTGCTGTTGTTGATGCAGCTGAAACGTTATCACAGGTCTACGTCATGTTTATCCATGCTGTTATGCGCCTCTGTGATCGAGTTTGTCAGTAGCAGTACTTTTTATAATGTATGCTCTAATACCATGAGGCTAGTCACAAGTTGTTATGCTAATTTAATTATAATAATGCTTCATTTACGTACTATATATTATTTCCCCTTGGCAATGGGCATCAACACCTGCTGGTTGTCATGAACACGATAAAGATGGGTAGGGTCCTCCTCAGTAGCACGAGTACCTTATGCTTGTTATAAGAACTGACTGTCATACTTCAATTACTTTGATGGTTGGTCATGCTATTAACCACTAGTTTATCTGGTCCAGACTTGGTTATTTACAGGTGGCTGTAATATTGCTGTAATATTGCTGACTGGCTCATTGTCAGTGAGGTGACACTCGTATTTTCAGTTTACAAATTTGATCAACCTACCACATGAACCAGGACCAAAAGCCACAAATAAAACAAAAAAGTTATAATATATTTTATTTGTTCCACAGCTCAAGCTTTGATGGATAAAAAAAATATAACATACTACTTAAAAAAACCTTTATATAAAATAATTGATGAAATAACACTTGATACATATTTATGACAGCGTCAAAACCGTAAACATCCTGCTGTATTATGGTGTGAACCAAATGTAAGAGGCATGTAAGAGGTTAGCAAACCATCTGTGTTACATAAAACGTGTAACATAAAACGTGTCGTCTGAGCACTAAATAATACTTTTCCCACACATTGCGGTTATTTTACAGAGTAGAACATCAGGTTTGCATAAATGGCATGACGTTCACTCCACAATTTTTGGTAGCTGAATTTAGCAGTCTGGGAGTCTTCTTGGGATAATGATGACCATTTGTTATGAGCCATTTTTCATTAGGAGGAATTGTTAACATCAGTGGTCTATATCTGGACCTGCTCACAAGCGGATAATTCAGCCCAAAGTCTGCAGCAAATATCAGTAAAAGTTTGTAATTGGAAACACAACTTTCCCTGTTATATCATAACAGGTAATGTTATGGCTTGATAGAAGTGAATTTTATTTTAGTGACCAACTTGAGCATTATTCCCAGCCTAGGGCACCTAGTTTGGAATCTCTTAACATGAACCATGAACACATTTAGCAAATGTTTAGTAAACTTAAACATGTTAAATGAAGTGAACAATAGCTTCAGGTGCTTGACTCAACGTCACCTGTTCAGAAAACCATGTTCTATAGAAATTATTTTATTACCATATAGCATGTTTTTGTTTTGTATGACGGACATGCCAGATGACCTCATGACACTACATGCATGTTGTTATGACACATTTAGGATGTCTAAAGACAAGATAATAGTCATGATAATTTCTCTTCTTTACAGGAGCGCCATCCTCTGAGGGTATGACCATCGTTGATGATGATGATTCACCATCATCTGCAAAGAAATTGAAGCAAGGTGAGCTGAGATTTTTGTGTTAACATGGAGTGCGTGCAGTCAATGACTAAGGCCACTAGCCTGAAGCCAATGTCTAGTAACCTTGGCTGATATTATCCTTATAGTTATAATAGGCCATACTAGCATGAAGTCTACTGAAAATAACATTTGGCTACTGAAAATAAAATTTGGCTAGTACAGTAAAGTACGGTTATTACGAACTCAAAGGGACTACTAATTTTAGTTCGTTATAACCGTAGTTCGTTATAAGCGTGTTCGTTATAACCGTAGTTTACTGTAGTTTCAAATGTTTTTTGCAACAGACTGAGAATGTGTTTGCCAAGTGACATGGCAGTAATATTACTGGTAATACTGGTGTCGGAGTACTTGTTGGTATTGGTAGGGGGTTGTTGGTTGCATATTACAATAACAATGTACTTTTTGTAATCAAGTAAATGTTTGAAGGGCCTTTGAAAAATGGAAATCAGCGTTTAATATTTAGAGAATAAACCAGCAAGCTACAAGGATTTAAGGATTACAGTAAACTATGGTTATAACAAACTCTAAAGGACCTCTAATATTAGTTGTAATTGTAGTTAAGCATAAATACAGCAAATGTCTGGGACCAAAAGGGTGTTTGTCATAACCATAGTTTGTGATATCCGTCAGTTTGTAATAAACATAGTTTACCGTACCTGATAATCAGATCTTTAAGTAGGTTATTCTTTTTATTTCTTGACATTTTTAGAGAGAAAATTAAGAAAAAAAATGAAATGTCAACCCTACAGCAAACTGCATCGAAGACAGCCCATAATTTTTAGAAGCTGTCATGTAATCAGTTTGTGATGTCATGAACAATGTGTTCTCAACAATGAAACACTGTGATGTATTATGGCTTCAATTGACAAATCAGCAATGAGAAACTCTAGAATGCAAACATGCCTTGCAATATGACAATATTAAGCATATAAATTCGGCCAGTCCACCTCTCCATAGTGTAGTGCATAAACATGATAAAGGCGTTGAAAGATGGCAACTGCAAGTTGCTACATAAGTGAAATAATCTTCTACACCATTTCACATGTTTCACGTCCCCCACCTCACCTGCCAGTAACAGAATGTAGTTATATTTCTTCATGTGTTTCAGCACGCCTCCCATTTAAACCAATTGGCCCAAAATCTCAAATATGTGTCAACCCCGCTCCTCATGGGGTGCCAAAGAAACGCAAATTGTCAGATCAAGAATCACCAAGCGCCAAAGCTCCCAAGATTTTCAACAAACACCAAGCTGACCGGCTCAAGCACGATATCCCAGAAAAGACTCCTTCTGACATTGCCGACCATGACAATGAGGTGAGCTCCAGCTCCGAGGCAGAAAATGTCCCCGTCTCGGGGATGGCGAAACGCAAACCCTGCGAGACCAACATCCTGGAGAGGTTTATTCGCAAGTCATCCCAAGAGGAGATATCTTCAACCAACGAAGTAGTAGATTTAACCGAGATTAGTGAGGAGATTATTGATAACTGTGACAATGCTAAAGCCCTTGAGGTGACCAGCTCTAAGGGGACCAAGAAGGCAGGTGACAAGCTCACTGGTACGTCCGATGAGAAGGCCCAGCCTGTTGTTGATGAGAAGGCCCAACCTGTTGTTGATGAGAAGGCCCAGCCTGTTGTTGATGAGAAGGGAGGTGAAGTTCAACCTGAAGATGTAAATAATGTTCTGGCAATAATAGATGAGGATGAAGCTAAAAAAGACAGTATTACAGAACCTGAGTGTAAAGATGAAGGGAATAAAACTGAATTTACAACTGTTGCTGAACCAGAGCCTATTAAGTGTGTGGATGTTGATATGGTGGAAGAGGAAGACGTACCTATTTCTCATGAAAAGGAACAGGTGACACAAGTCGATAATGCCAGGTTGAATGATCTGGATGCATCAGCCATTAGCGTTCAGTCTGACGAAAACAAAAGCTCAGAACTAAATGGTTCGTCAAGTAGTAAAACTGATAGTGATGAGGAGAGTAGCACCTCTTCAGACGAGTCTGATGATGAGGATGAGGATGTTGATGATACCTCATTGAACGAAACCCAAAACAGTGGTGGAGATGTCTCCATGAATGACAGCCTGGCAGACAAGTCGGTGTCCTCCCAAGACAAAAGCCCAACTGCCAACTCATCCACTTGCAAAACACCCAAAACAAAACAACAGAAGTGCAGTGTTTCCAAGACACCAGGTGGCAGCACGGTACAGACAAGTACACCCAAGAACCTGCGTGAGAGACCAGCAAGCATCAAGGTATGTCTGATCGTGATATGTAGGGCTCTCATTGTTAAAGTATCTATTTTAGCATGGATTTACAGGGATAGACAAACACAAGTCCGTTACTCATAGACAAGTGAAAATCTAGAGGGACCAGTTGTTTTCCCCCAAATCTTTTTTTTTTTTCAGATAACCACTAATCCAAAATCATCACTTTGTATGTAACTTTTCTGCAAGTCAGTTCGAACTAGTAGCTTATGTTACATAGATCTGTTGAGAAAACAACTGGTCCCTCTAAATTTTTCACTGGTCTCGGACTAATGGACTAGTGGCCATGTCTATCCCTGGTTGGGTTTGAGCATTGGTGTCTACCCCTGATGATATTACCGTAATATAAACTAACTGCCAAAAGATATGCAAATACCATACATATTGGTTAATATATGAGGAATTACTCATATTCAAGAGATTGGATCGATGCACAAATAAACATACTGTTATGCTGTGTGAATTTAAGAATAAAGACACTCTATGGTAACACTTGACTGATTGTTAGTTTTGTCATTAACTTATAAGTAGTACACATTGGAAACATCTCTTCTTAACCATGTTAACTTACATACTTCTCTATATGTTTCTATGGTTCGTTCTTTTCGCGGCGAGTATATGTTGTTAGAATTCCATCCACAGATAATGGTTGTCATGGCTTTGTGCAGATGACTTGTATTTCACTGATAACATGGCCAATAAAGAGGACTGAAAAGATTTAGTAGCAAGTTTCTCAATTTGCCTTCCTCCACAAAGTTTTGAAATCCTAGATAAATCCTTGACATTTAAAGATTAAGCAGAGTTAATATGATTTGCCAGTTGGAGTCATCTGATTTATCTGAAAAAGAAATGCTGGTTTTGGCTACTTTTCACAAATCTCAATTTCAAAATACAAGTTGTTGACCAAAAAAACACTTACCTTTAGCATGTGTTTAGCATCACCCTGCCCTTTGTTTCACTTGAGACTTACTACGCTTTTGCAACCAAAGAAAGACGAGTGAGTCATCTGCTTGGATCATGTGGATACTTCATTTTGGAGGCTTATACGATAATAGTCTTCTCAAACCAGTCGATCTGTAACTGAAGTGACCTGAGAGTATACTGGTCAGTGACAAGGAACCATTGCTTTCAGTGCTGAACCACCAAGTTTATAATATCAATAAAAGCAAAAAGTATCTTGGTGCGGAAAAGTCAAACATTATTTCTCACCATGTTGTGAGGATGCTGTGATCATACCCATTCCATATGTTTATTTCTGTCCCTTTGACCGAGGGTGTCTGAAATTCACGGTCCAACCTATTCTTTACCTGTAACCTGAATCTACATATGTGTAGAATTAATGTTAAGATTTCTTTAATTATATCGATCACCCTGGATGGAGTGAATAAGCATGGTGATTATTGTACCTGATGATGTGGATCACTGTACGTGATGTAGGGCGTTGTACCTGATGTGGATATTGTCTCTCTCTCCCCTCCCTGCAAAGGGAAGGGAGACATATTGTTTTGGGCCCAGTTCCTTTTCACTTTGGCGTCGGCGTTCCCATCCTATTCCGAGACTTAACTTGGAAACTGTTGCCATATGCATTGCTCATCAGCTTAACTGGTGCCTTGTGCTATTTGAATTTGTTCACAATTTTACTTTTTTTTACGTTTCCATGGAAACAATTTTGACTTAGTCTCAAACAAGGTAGGGTTTATTTCCGGGACAGAACTTGAAAACCATTCAACATTTTTGTATGAAACTGCACATATGCATTGCTCATCTGCTTAACTGGTGCCTTTTGCTATTTTGAAATCTGTCAAAATTGTATTTGTTTTATGTTTCCATGGAAACAAATTGACACTTGACTTGTGAAGTAGCAAGGCATGGGCAGCTAGAAGCTTGGTATGATGTGCTACATAATGGTGTGAATGTGATCTACATGAATTTGAACAGTGTGAAGATAACTGCAGGATATGGGTGCCCGATACACAATTTGAATATTCTGTTTTTAGATGTCGGAAATCAAAAAGCAAGAGAAGAAACAGGATCGGGAAGCGAAGAGACAGAAACTCCGAGAACAGAAGGAACAAGAGCGACAACAGCAGAAGGAAAAGAAAGAACAAGAGAGGTTGGAGGCAAAGAAGAAAAAAGATGAAGAAAAGGCTGAAAAGGAACGGAAGAAAAAAGAAGAAAAGGTAAGTTTCAACACACGCTCTTGTTACATCATAATAACTGTTCCTCCTCTTCTTGGGTGGGTGGGGGCACAGGTGGCACAGTCAAAGGCACAGCAATTCGCCATGCAGCGTTGGGTCCTTTGGGCACGCCAGAAACACATGATCATGGGTTCTTGTCTTGTTTCGCCCTGATTATGTTTCTAGTTTTGTCAGCACCATACCCTTGCTCGTGGGTTTCACCAAATGGGCAAACATCTGAGATCTGCATCACTTGGGGCTTTCCTCCCACATTTTGCTGATGTGCTGTGATATAACTGGAATACTGTGCAAAGTGGTGTTAAACCCATCCCAAATCTGCCACTCACTCACTCACTCACTCACTCACTCACTCACTCACTCACTCACTCACTCACTCACTCACTCACTCACTCACTCACTCACTCACTCACTCACTCACTCACTCACTCACCCACCCACCCACCCACCCACCCACCCACTCACTCACTCACTCACTCACTCACTCACTCACTCACTCACTCACCCACCCACCCACCCACTCTTTCACTCACTCTTTAGGCATGCCAGAAACCTATGATCATAAGCTCAAGTCCCAGTTGAACCAGATTATGTTTCTAAGTTGGTCATCACCCTACCTGATCTTGTGAGTTTCACCATAGTCTTAGGCACCAAAGACCTGTTTCACTTCAGGCTTTCGTCCCACATCAAGCTGTCACGACTTGATACTGAAATACTCCATCCTCACACAGGCTCAATCACCAGGTCAGTGAGCAGCACTGAGCACTATAGTGAGAACTACTCCCTCAACCCTTTGTTTTGTACGCTAGTTGACTGTTTACCTTTTCCAGGACAAGAAGGAACGTGAGCGGCAGGAGAAGAAGGATCAGCTGGAGCGTGAGAAGCAGGAGAAACTCCAGCAGAAGGAGGAGGAGAAGAAGAAGAAGCAGGAGATAATAGAGTAAGATTGGTGCACTCGCTGGAGATAAGGATGTTCAGATGTGTAGGTTTGGTATGAGGCTGATGAAACAAAATTGTGACACAACTTTGTTCACAAAAACATGTTTTTGTGTGTGCAGCGTCGTCATTAATTGTGATCATTTTTATTTTTCTGATCGTGTTTCCTGCCTACATTATTAAATCACAAGACGCTGTGGATCATTATGTATATCATCTTGTCTTAATAAGAATTTGTAAGAATAAAAGTTTGGGTTTGTCAGGCACGAAAAAAATAATTTTCTCAGACAATTTATTGTTACAGCATAAGAGCTGTCATGAACAATATTGAACAACTCCAATTATGAGGACTAAATCACTGATATGACATCATTTTGAGATGGGCAGGGATATGAACTATCAAAACAGTTGGGAGTGCATTAGCTGGTGAGTCACACCTTGTTGAAGTCAAATATCAGTGGTTCTTGAAGGGCACATTAGGACTGCCTATGGTGCAGATGCAGGGATCACTTTGGGGTGAACTTTGGGATGCACATAATCGATTACTATGATTGCATTATATTTTCCGATTAAATCAAAATCTTAAGAAAGTTCTGTTAAAACATCACATCAACAACTTTGCAGGAGATGAGAAACAATGTTTTTTATCAGTTTCCAACAGGAAACAATGATTATCAAATGATTAATGACAAGAATTTTACATGTACATGATGGTTGTTGACGATTACAGTGGCGGAAACTAACATCTTTAGGCCACTTGTCCTCATAATGATAACATAGCTAACTCCTTAAAAATGGCAAATTTCTACTAGTCCTTATGATGCCTTTACTTTTGGGCAGTTTGGCAAGGAGTACAGGACGAGCTTCAATTTCTATCACTCCATTGAAGGTCAAGGTCACTGGAATGGTCAAATGTAAGGAAGTTCTTGTTCTGTGTGTATACTGAACCAACCGCCTGAGTTTGTATCACATGGTTGTAAGAGCTGGTGCACATGTTTCCATATAGAAACAACTGAGCATTTACTAAGTGTCAAGCATATACTTTTCACAGCTAAAATATATGACTCTTTTCAGCGCTAAACTGGAAGAGAAGCGAAAGAAGGATGAGGAAAAGCAGAAGGAAGAAGATGAAAAGGTAAAGATGAGGTCAGCACTAAGTCACAACTGTGCAGTCAGTCTGACATAGCATGTTTCCCAATGGGTTATAAAATGCAATAGTTTTGCATGAAATCCTTTTTAGCCCCTATTCACTGGCAAATCTGTCTCACGAATGGCCTTGTAGCAGTTGAGGTCTTAAGATTATATGTATAGGTTAAAACACGTCCGAGGGTTGTTATGATATTTAAAACCCGCATCCCGAGGGATACACTCACTGGGCTACAGATATGAAGGTTGCGAGTTCGATCCTCGGGAATATAAAGAAAACATTTGTCATTTGATTTTACATTTCATTACATGTTACAATCTGAACGGAAGTTATATTAATTAAATACCCAGGACATTATATAAAATCCCTGGGATATTAAAACACAATTTATAGCAAATATGACTTGAATATCCTATAAAATCCAGGGGATATTATATAAAATCCCAGGGACATTACAACGTCCCTGTTTATGAGATTTAACCCGACTGGAGAATAATAGGATGACGTCACTGGAGGTTTATAAGGAGGGGCACAGGTGGCCCAGACGTCCAAAGTGCTGCAATTCACTGTGCAGAGTTGCATCCCTTGGGGATCACCACCTATGATTGTGTGTTTGATTCCTGGTTCATCAGATAGTCTGAGATCTGCATCACCTCAGACTTTATTTCCACATTTAGGTGCCACGCCACGCCATGATATAACAGGAATACTGTTAGAAGCAGCCTTAAACTAAACTCGGTCACTAAAAATTATGATCATTTTCAGAATAAGAAAAAACAGAAGGAAAAACAAACATTCACCAGCTTCTTCTTCATCAAGAAAGCACAGTCACAGACACCATCGAAGGTAAGGCACTTTCCCCAGTTCCAGGAGCAACTTTTGATGCATCCATGCAAGATTTTTGTATAAATGCAGATAATTATTTCCAAGTTGTATGGCATCAATGTGCTTTGCCTTGTCTTGTCACCCTGTACCTTTTGCCTCAATCTCATTAAAATCAGATCTAAGATCTCTCTAAGATTACGGGTCACGTCAGAACGACCTTTCGCGAAACTAATAACCAGAAGTCGATATCAGCCAATGAGATAGCAGCTTTCTCGAGCTTTACGGCACTCGTTTCAACCTGGTGACTTCCATTTCAGACTAAGCTTGAAAAATATGTTGACACAATTCTCGATTAAAATTTTCAAAGCTGAACCAAAGAACATTCCAGAATGTCTAATATATTGTTGTGATTGTATGGCAGAGCTTCCCACATACTGTGCAACGCCTCCTCCGTTCAAATGTTTTTATCACGCGAGAGATACACGATAATTTTGACGGAATCAGTCGTACAGGCCATAACTGTCGTTCGGAATACCCTGTTAACATTTTCGAGGTTGCTTGATTGGAAAACACATTCTGACTATCACTTTCATGATCTGGTAAGCGACGCTCTGATTGGTCAGATGAAAGGTCGTCCTGACGTGACCCGTAATGGGATGTCCTCACATCTTTGTTCAGCGATAGCGAGAACTAAGATCTGATTTTAATGAGATTGCTTCTGCCTGAGCACTGGTTAGTGAGATTGTTTTTAGTGATATGGGACTGCCTTTGTGGTCTAGTGGTACAGCGTCCGCCCAGAGAGCACAAAGTCCAGGGCTTGATCTCCTGCTGAGTCATACCAGTTGACGTTTTTATCCTGTCTGGCGCTTGACATTAAGGGTCTTAAACAAGGACTGGTCGGCTCGCAGTCAGTATACTGTGTCTGAGTGGGGTATTCATGTTAAACTGCAGCATGGTATCAGTGGGCTAGCACTATTAAATCGGCATTAGTTTGGACTTGTACAAGCAGCCTCACACACATGTACCTGCACATCGCTATATAAGTGCAATAATCTTGGACTCGATGTTAAACCCATTTCACCTCACCTTCAGTGATAACAGTGAGAGAAGTTGTTACAGGAATGGATGCTGAGTGGTAGTCAACATGTCTTGTTTTCGCAGGTGAAGGAGCAGTCCCACTTCTTCATGCCGTTCGAGGTGAAGAAGGACATGTTTCTGGCACCGCCCACTCGGCGAGAATTGCAGGAGGAAGACAAGGCAGTGCTGGACCAACATCTCCAGACACAGGTCGGTACGCTTGTCATCTTCACCACTGTCCATTTCAGATGACGTTAAATCCTACATATGAGACTCCAACTTGTGGCAGTCAAATCAGCAAGATGTTTAAGAAATGAATCGGGAACGATTCACAGGGGAATTGATAATTGTTTTTTGTCTCTTTTTAGGAAAGTCAACCTTTGTACATCAAGGAGATAACAAATTCTTCATACCAGAAGAAACAGAGTTCTCGAACTCTTCCACGGTAAGATTCGGGTACTTGAACAGACTAATGTGAGGTATCATGTTGTATATTCTATCATGGTATTGCAGGGCATTGGCACTTCGAATCTGCACACACACCCAAAGTAAATTGAAGTCTTTGAGTCCTGGGTCCTTGAGGTTTGCTGCTATTGTATTTCATTTTCAGTCTTGTGTCCCCTTAAGTGTGGACTTCCTGGCTATAACAAGGACTCCCAGACACTTGGACCCTTATTGTTTATGGGTAGTTTCCAAGATGGTTGTCAACACCATGCACCCATAAAGATCCGGGTTAGAATAAGTCTCCAGCAACCCATGCTTGCAACGAGAGGCGACTCTGCTTGTTGTAAGAGTTGATTAACTGGAACGTGGTCAGGCTCGCTGACTTGGTTAATGCATGTCATCGTATCCCAATTGTGTAGATCGATGGTCATGATGTCAGTCAATGCATTGTTTGGTCCAGTCTCGATTATTTACAGTCCGCTATCATGTAGCTGGAATATTGATGAGTGAAACATTTAGCAGCAAATCAACCATACAACCTACCTACTTTTGTTACTTGCTTGTCATTGTGCAATAATCTGTCTTTTTCAGACTGGCAGTGTCGCCGCCTGTCGATGTGGACGATGAAGACAGTGTGAAATGTATGGACGTCATCGAGGAGGAGGAGAAGAATAAGAATCTAGTCCGCCATCACTGCAAACTGCTGCAGTTTCACACCAACTATCGTCCGCCTTACTACGGCACCTGGCGCAAGAAGAGTACAGTGCTCAACCCCAGGAAGCCATTTAAACAGGATACGGTTAGTTGCATTGACAGCTTTACGCCCTTACATTGGGGAAAACTCACCTGTAGTTCGTTTGCAGCAAAATCATACCAACAAATAAATAAGTTTTGTGCCATTTCAGACAAATTTTTGCTTTCGGATTTATATCTGTTTTGCATTTCATCGGTACAATTTTGCAGCAAACAAACTATAATATAGGCTTCAAATATTTCTGACAGAAAATAAAGATTATGTTGCAAGGATAGCACACTTTATTCAGTACAATACAAATAATCTGCCTGTCATTGATAGAGTACACGCATATACATGTAAGTAGTAACTTTTATAAGCAGCTTGTTCGACTGCTGTTCACTTACCAGTGAGGTGAAGCTTTCTGATTGGATTGTAAGTCTGTGTTTTTTGTTTGCTTACAGGAACTGTTTGACTACGAGGTTGACAGTGATGACGAGTGGGAAGAAGAGGAACCGGGTGAGAGTGTCTCCAGTAGCGAGGTAAGGCTCAAGTCTTCTCACAGGGGCGTGTTGTCTCACCCAGCCGAGGGCTTTAAAGATTGGCTGTTTCACATGTTCAAGTCACATTATTGCAGCTGTGGCTTTATATATTAATTGCTCATTACACACCCTCCCATCCTCAACACAGGGGTTTCTGTATTCTAGATTTGGTTACTCTTGAGTCTCATTTTCAGGCTCGTATATAAGCTTAGGAAACATCATTAAAATTTTCATCAATACCAAAAAGAGCACAAGCAGGTTGCCTAGAACAAGTTTCTAAAACAAGATCCATTTTGATTCATTTGATCAGAGAAAGCCTTCTGTCAGTGATGATAAATATCTCTTATATTTCATGTAAACCTGTGGTCAGTATTCAGCTGTGAGTGGAACTAACTGATAACAGTAAATGAAACGGGTCAAGAACTAAGGAGGGGAACTACTACAATGTACAGCAGTAATAGGACAGAATAATGTCAGGCGTGTTTAATTATGGATTAAATGTTGCATTCGAAAGAAGCACACTCTCATTTTAAACAGTTAATCTTGTGAGATATTTTGTGTTTTTGAGACCTTGATTTGTCGATCTGTCTCCAGGATGAGGGTGATGAGAAAGAGGACAAGGACGAAGATGAGGAAGAGGAGGAGGACGGGTGGATGGTCCCCCACGGTTACCTGTCTGAGGATGAGGGCTGTGAGCAGGACGAGGAGGTAACTCAACAGCTCATCACGTGACACTTCAAATTATTACATTAAATTAAGTGTGGGATAATAGTACAATGATAAATTCTTTTAATATTCAATCTAAAAAAATAGATTGAAGTAATTTCTGTCAAGTCATCTCGGACACTGTTTTATCTCAAATTCATCAGAAATGGGTGTTACCTTTGTACTTTATCACAACAGTTCTGTGGCAGAGCTTGCATTGATGTGAGTATATGTTCAGGGTCTAGCAGGGTATCAAAAATACAAAGCCAGGGAAATTTGTCGTAAGGGTCAATTAAGCGAGACCCCTTGTCAGCTGAAGCACTGCTAATGTTTCTTAGACACATTTCCTGGTTTACATCTGGTTTATGTTCTCAGATCACCCCTGATGTGCTGAAGGCTCGTCAGATGGCGAAGCAGGAGGCATGGGAGGCGGAGCAGAAGCGCCAGAAACAGCCGGTCCGAGCTGTCGTGATTGGCGTAGCCTGGGAAGGGGAGGCTATTGCGTCTCACCTGGCGGCCAAACTGGCCCAGTTCCAGGTGAGCCAACTCTTCACCAAGATTATCATGAACTTGGTTGCTTTATTTGATTTATTACCCATGTGGTGAAGATACAGGTGGTGAGATACTAAATCAGTAAGTCACATGTGTCATACAAGGTTCAACTTGTTTTACTCATTTTGATTGGATAACCATGACCGCTGTCACACTGGAACTACTTTTTTCATTCATAAAAAAATCACAAAATGGCATACATTTTACAAAACCTTTTTCTTCTACGAGACAGAACTGAACTTTATTCAACCAAACAAGATAGTCACACGCATCAGATTTGCTTTGCATTCTATATTACACACTCTACACACATTATATAATCAATAAATACCACTTTTACAAAACTCATGAACTTTCTATGTTATCTGACCTCACTTTCGCAAGTTCAGATACGATAGAAATTCCATAAGTTTTGTAAAAATAGTATCTAACGAGAATAAGTGTAGTATTCTCTATGTAGCATTCAGGTACTCTTTGAATAATAGAAATATGTCGAAACTATGATGTGTTATTTTGTTTAGTTTTACTGAACCAAAAAATTGGCAAAGGAGAAAAATTTTCAGTTATATATTTGAAAAGTGACAGTTTCTCGAAAGTTCAGTATGTCAAAAGATATGACCTTAAGACTCCTTGAACAAAAATGTTCAAAGAAAAGCTGTGTATTTGAAGTTTTTAGTTTGAATTTAAGTATGTATTTGAAGTTTTTAGTTTGAATACAAGTATGTATTTGAAGTTTTTAGTTTGAATTTAAGTATGTATTTGAAGTTTTTAGTTTGAATTTAAGTATGTATTTGAAGTTTTTAGTTTGAATTTAATGACAAGGAAGCAACTGTTACCAGATCAGGTGTCTTGGAGTTTGTAATGGAAGTGTGTTTTCAGGCTGTGTGTTTGTCTATGCTGCCAATTGACACGAGGTCTCGGCCCGGGGACAACGCGGGTGGTGGGAAGGATGGAGACAGGACATCGTTTGGAAAAGGAAACAGGAAACCTGTGCCAGAGGAGGGTGAGTACTTGTCACCTGGTGGAGGTAACAGAGTTCATTGTAATGTTAGCTTTAACAAGTGACATCCCTTTCCTTTTGTCATTGTTTATGGTCTTACTTAACATTTCGAGGGGTAGTAAGGTGTCCTTGTTGTAGAAATGTTTGTTCATTGTGTTAGACCTGTGTTCAATTCTCACTATCTGTATAATATGTGAAGCTCGTTATTGGTGTCACAATGCTTGATTGTTACAAAAGGCACTACATCTTTTGTTTTTAAGTACTGTTTGAAATGATCAATATTTGACATCTATTGGTACTTCCTACCAAATTTGAGTTGTTCTTTTGAGAGTATGTGTATTCATTGTTTCTAATTTCTCATTTTCAGCCATGCCTGATCTTATACGGTTATTGCATGGCAACTTGATTGGGATCAAGAAACTGATCAAGGAGTTCAGGTTGTACTGGAAGAAAAAGACTTCGGGCAGTCTGGGTGAGGCAGACGGTGACAATATGGATGTGGATGAAAGTGTGACCGACAAGAACGCCTCAGTGTTGGAGGGCTCTTGTACGGAGGAAAAGAACGCTCAAGTGAGTGCTGTGGACGTCAATTCTGGTGGTGGCGGAGGAGGAGAGGAGGACAATAAGGACACATCTGACGGGTTTGGGATGTCAAAACGGCAGCTAGAGATGAAAATCATGTCTATTGCCTTGCGGGAAAGGAGACCAAATTTTAAGAAAGTGTGTTGGTATGTGAAAGAAGAGGTTCTCAAACAGTATGAGATAGAGGAGCCAGCTCTACCCAATGCCTGGCAGTATGTGTCCAAGGGCTTGATCAAGGTGAAGAACGAAGAGGCTGCTGGGAGGAAAACTCCCAATAACTTGGCTGAATCGTTCACCGATTCAGTGTCAGTCATCATGAAGGAAGAGCCGGCTGCAGAAGAGGCTGAAGCTAAACCCCTTCCAAAGGACCAACCCTCAATCATGCAGTTTGCAAAGAAAATGCAACCTAGTGAACTGCCCAAACCCAAGATACGAAGAGTACAGCTTAAGCCTGCTACTCCTGTTCCCACTCCAAGTGCTGAGAGGTCCCCTGTCGCCGACTTTGATACATCAGCAGGTGAAGAAGTGCTTGGTCCATATAAAACACTGCCAAAAGATCAAAGATCAATTATGGATTTTGCCAAGAAACCTCCAAATGGTGCACGGACTGTTCCTCCAAGCGTTGTTAAAAAAATGCTCTTGTCACCCAAGTCATCATCTAGTGCTGATCTCAAAACAAGCCCAAAACAGGTACTCTCAAGGGAGACAACCCCCAAACAGAAAGTATCAAGGGAGACAACTCCCAAACAGAAAGTACCAAGGGAGACAACCCCCAAACAGATACTTTCAAGGGAGACAACCCCTAAACAGACAATATCAAAGGAGACAACCCTGAAAGGGGAAGCTGTGGCTAAGGTGTCTGTGAAGGGGGTTGTCCCAACACCATCTGCGACAGCAGTCACTTCTCAGGACAATGATGTTGCCAAGAAAACAGTGATAAGTGCTAGCAAGGAGGAGGCAATGGACGTAGATGATTGCATTATCATTGACTAGGGTTTTTAGGTGTAGGTATAATCTAGAATATTCTACTTTGTGTTTAATAGCAAATACTATTAGTTGTGTGTTTATGTGTACAGATATTGCATATATATTTAAAAATTAATTAATACAAAACATTTTCATCACTCCTAAGTTTACTTTGAATTAATCTTTAAGACATTTGGTGTATGGTTGATACAAGGCATGTCTTGACTTCTGCCTCTTGCTCACAGCTCAGAAATCACTGGATTGCATGGGTCAAGTCCAACTACACCAAAGCACACATGTGGTTTATGTAACTGTTTTGGGGGTGAGAAATCATTTGTCCTTCCAAACGACATATGGTGGTGTTCTTAGCCTTTCAATGCACAGGAAATATTTTTGTTGGAATCATTGTGGAGAGGAAGGCATTTATTAATTTATTTTTTATTAGTTCAAGTTTGTCTTCCACCGAGATGGCGACTGAACTGGGACTGGAACTTCACAATTGTCAAAAAAAACAACCCCAACTGTTTCTTTCAGTGACAAATTATGTATGTTTCTGAACTATCAGTAACTGTTACCACAACTTCTTGCATGCTCCTCAAGGCGATATCTGCCGTTCTGTAAATGGCGAAGCAACAAATGGAGGTAATAAACAGTTGTCGTGTTTAAAGAGATCAAGGAAAACAGGTAGGGATGCAAGAAGAATTATGTCTAACGTCCCTCAGCCTGTGTAGTCTGTGTGGTGATGCTGGGCTGAGATGACCCGTCTTCCATGTGTTTAACCTTTAGCCTGCTGAATTGTTTTAGCATACGGCGCTGTAAAGAGGGTGGCCGATTTCAAACAGTCTTCCATGTGTTTAAAGGAGAAGCAGGAGGGAAAAGCTTACAATTTCAACATTGAATACAATTTTAAAAAGGTTATAGTCAAGGATTTGTGATTGCTAATGAATGGGAATAGAACATTTGAATTCTTGTTCAACATCATTCAAGTGGGACATTTCGATACGTGAAGAAATGTAATGTCTCTGTGAACAGTGGAGTATTTCATTTTCCGCATACTCTGATATCTGACAAGAAGTAGCAACACAAACAGGGTTAAGCATGCAATTAGTCTAGGGCTTCAAGGTTGAAGATTATATCAGCGTTTTGATACTCTTTTGTTAACTTACGTGACACAAATTCATCATATATTTCATGACTGCTTTCTTTTTAAGAAACAAACAAATCTTAAATAAGATTAATTGAACAGCGGTATGACTGTGTAGTGGCTGCATGATTGAACTAGTCATGTGTATAACACCGATGCAGTCCGCAACATTAACCAGTAGTCTGAAACCCAAGTCCAGTAAAATTCTGCTCGGTCTAGTTAACTGCTCATGATAGTTTAACACTAAAAATCATCTGATAATGATGAGCCATGTCTGGGCTAGTTGACTCAAGCGTTTGGCAGACTGCCTGTGTTTGCACCACAAGGCAGCTTTCGGTATACGAAACTTTCAGATAGTAATACCCAGGTGTGTCCTGTTAATCTACTAAGTAGTCCATCTCTCAAACTATTCAGAGAAAGTTTTAAATGAAGTGCTGAACTGTCAGTGTTGTTCGAAGTTATGTATAATTTGTAAGAATCCGTAAGAAGACCTGAAAATTTTGTATTTTCAAGTTGGCTGTGCTTTATCATCAGGTATATCAACTCGTTTACCTGTTACCAAAATCGTGCAATCATGCTCCATAGAGGGGCCTAGTTTTAAACTTTAAAGATTGAATATTGGTAGTTTATCTGGCGAACTGAAGCTAATTACTACTTTCGCTAACCCAGATAATGTGTAAGTAATGCATACATCAGTTATTTGTCTTACTGTACAAGTGTTCAAGGTATTTATTGGTTGGTGAAACCAAACTTGCAAAAATTCTGTCATCTGCTTAATGCAATAATTTGTCAGTGGATGAAACCCATTTTGGGATAGATTTATTACTAATATTGTCAGTATTAATATGAATATATAATCGTAGATTACCAACTGAATATATACCGTACCATTCTTCTTTTCCATATTGTCTCCAGGTTATAAGTAATTTAAATGTGCTCAGGGTATTGTTAACATGTCAGCAGCGTATCTTCACGACATTGCCGAGTCGGCCCTCCAGTGCATCATTTGGTAAGTGATACTTCCTTCTTGAATCAAATAACCATGAACTTTATTTATAACAAAATTATTTTAACAGTAATACCATTATGTACCTTTTGTCTTCAGTGTCACGTCGACATTTGTGTGTATTACAGAGAAGGGTGAATGAGTGATACATGTAAATAAATAATCTGATCAAACATCTTCCTGTGTTGTGTGTATTCCTTCAACAGATCAGCATGGGTTAATGTGTTGTACCCAGATTGCAGTTATTGGTTTGACGCCAGTATCAGTACCTCACCAGTTTGTAGATCCTGTTTAATGCTGCATTCAGCAATATTCCAGCTGTTGGAGGCGGCCTGTAAATACTGTAAATTGTGAAATTAATGTGTCTCCAAAAGAATGCGACCACTGGACCCTAGCCAAAAATGAGACTCAATATGAATGCGACACCCCCTCCTCTCAAGCATCAGTGGATTTCTATCTAAAGATGTCCTCATACAGGTTTATAATCCTCACCTTAATCCAACCTAACTTTAATCCAATCACACACCAAATAGCACCTCTTATTAGTGCTGAGTAAAGTACTTCTGCAAAAAACAATACATGCGTGCTGGCTCGTGTCGGCCTTTGACGCAGTCGCAAAGAACAAGGGTGGCGTCTGTCTGGACTTGCAGGTGTGATCAGTGATGACATAAGTGAGTAGAACTCTTGTCTTGACCCCAGCAGTGACAATTCACAGGATGTAATTGGTGCTTGAATGACATTGTTTACATACTTGCAAGTATAGAAGTGCTGCTCAATAAACTGGTGTGGAATACATCAGCGTATGTCTAAGTTGGTATTTTTGCTTATTGTTGATATAAATGCGATTTTTAAAAATGCGAGCAAAGACCACACGCATTTTTCACATTTAATTCACGCTTGCATTAATTTCAAGATTTACAGTAATTGATTACACCATCAGCATTGATCCACAATGACATGCAATTGGCCAAGTCACTGAGCTGAACCACCTGATCTATTTAGTTGCCTCATATGACAAGGGTAGTTTGCTGGGGGGACCTATATTCTTACCCTGATTCCTCAAGGATAGCAGTTGATGGAGGAACATTGAGATAACAATGAAAGTACCCAGAAAGTATTATTGTTTGAATCCCTGATTTGCCAGGATGCTGATCCTGGTCTGAGATCAACTTGTCCCTGTGTTGGTTTCAGCGGAGTTGATAAGGAATCAACCTACACCCCTTTGTGCTTTCCTCCCACAATAGCTGACAAACCGTAATACTGTGCAAAGCATTTTAGAACTCTCTCACTTTTACAGTGCTGAAGGGGAGATTCTTGGGTAGTTTTCCATATCTCGTCAATGAGCCAAGTGAAATGAGAATCAGGTGGTTCCAGTGTGACCCGGGCACGGACACAAACTAACCAGCATTTGTTTGTTTAATGCCAAACCATAGCAATATTCCAGCTATATGACAGCGGTCTGTAAATAACCAAGTCAGGACCAGACAATCCAGTGATTGACATCATGAGCATTGATCCAAACAATTGGGATATGATGACTGCATCAACTAAGTCAGCTGCCTGACACTCGATCCCATTAGTCGTCTCGGAAGACAAGCATGGGTTGCTAAAGACCTATTCTAACCCGGATCTTCATGGGTCATAACCAGCATTAAAAACAAAATTTTCTTTCAGCACCAAAATTTATTTCAAACAGGACTAGGTTTGTGCTCAAAAGGTGATATTGCTGTAATAACACGATTGTGTATATAATGCTGGCTTGTATATTAGAATCTTGTTAATGTAATCCAACAAACATGGGCTTGACATTGCTGGGTCCATGTTTCTGTTAGCAGCGGTTTGTGGCACGTAGTCTTGGTCTTGTACATCATAGCTTCCATCAGCAGATGTGGCATATACAGGCGAGGTGCAACAAGTCGTCTCGTTCAAGAAAACTGACAAATATAGTTCCAGTTTTATTTACAATGTCACAGTGGAGTTCACAGTAATGCCCAAGGAGGATTCACTAAATGTGTCATCATTGTCATGATAATGGCCTGCCCGGGAAGGAAGTTGATCAGAGATAATAAACATCAGTTTTCATTAAGCCGAGTTTGCATTACCATTAGTAAGTGACATGTCAGTTCTACATCCATAAAAAATTCCTGGGACTGGCATGCACAATATTGCTATTACACAAGTTTGGCTGAATTGTAGTATAATTCTACATTTTAACGCATGTCTATGTCAGACTACTTTTGTCCACACTCCATCTGATGTTGACCCCACTGTTTTTCACTGGTGAGCCCAAAGTGCCCTCCCTACCTTGCAAAAACATGGGGACTGTGTCTCAGGGTGATAGTCTTCAAAATACCAGTCCTTGGACATTTGATTTTAGTTTACAGAATATTCATGTTGATAAACTGTCGAATGTGAAAAGTTGGGTGTTTTTTTCTGAACCACAGTCTTTCAAAATCATCTAGTTTAATAACGTTCTCATTATGAAAACGAACCAAACAGATTCCCCACTGAAAGCAATTAGTATTGCCTTAAGATTATGTTAAATTAAACCAGCTGGTCACAAAACAGAACATTTTCCAACAGAATATCAAAAACCTAAGACCATCCAGTTAATCCATGAGTGAATGTGTGAATATTGTCTTGCACTAATGACAGCAACATTGTCATGGTGAGAATATGACAGGTATTGATAATTAGATGTTTTTCATCACTGAATTGTCATTATTCAAACCAAATATTTGTGAGGTTTGCTCAAGTAATGAGGTGTGAACATGACCTGTATAGGGCGTATATTCAGGTGATATCAGCATCCATTCCGATGTTATTGCTGTTTACTGGCACGCCAGGATCGAGACTCAGGATCTGTTCTCAATGTTGTCATATCACAGACAGCCTATGAGCATGAGGACACACGTTCATGTGGGGTGCTCCGAACTCTTGTAAGCAACGAAGTTGCCGATCTTATTGCCGTCTTCATCATAGAGCAGAGCTTTGAAGCACCTGTGGCACATGAAGGCTGGATTGCTGGGGAGCAGGGGGCAGTCATAGATGATCCACCTGCAAGTGTGACGCACATGTTATATCACAGATACAATTACACAAAGCGTTGTTATGGTTGAACTATTAAAAAAAATACTCAAGTGTGTATGTGAAAAAAAAAATCAATTCATTTGGTTATGGTTATTTAGTTTGCATAATTTACAGAAATACAGTTTATCTTGAGCTTTGACCCATGTAGTGATCAACGTAAGCCTTCACCACAAGAATAGAGCACCTCGCATCTAAAACCTTGAAACAAATACTGTACAAAATACTCGTGACTGAACCATTTACTTAGAAACACTGACATAAAGGTGAAAACAGTATCACGAGTTCCCCTTTGTGTCAAAGTTAACTTCATGATTGGAGGAAAGCCGTGCAGATACTACATGCCAAGGTAACCTAAAGTTCAAAGTGCACTTACCCGGCAGTGTTTATCATGCAGGATTTACAGATCTTGCGTTTGTGGTTCATTTCGCGGCAGAGATACGGGTACGACCGCAGGTCCTGGGGATCCATGGGGTGGAGCATGCTGTAACAGGAAGACACATGAGGCACGCACAGCTTGGCACCGGCACTTTGTGAACAACTCAGTCGTACAAGGCTCTCTTTGTTAAGCTAATAAAAAAATAGTCTTGGTTCTCAGGCACCGCCTGCATCATCATAAAGTTCACAGCATGTTTGCTTTTTGTTTCCATTTAAAAAAATAGAAATATCCTTAAATTTTCAAAGCCCAATGGAGTTAAATACTGTATTCCAGTATTTTACTCAAGAAGGAATACATTTATGTAGGGAGGCCCTTTCCCAGGTTGATTGTACACAACTGTTTATTTGGTTACATACTAGTTTGAACAACCGAAGAAACAAAAAAGACACTGCCCACCTGCACTATATTTAAAAAAACCATTGCCTGAGAACCAATTTCATTTTTTAAAGCCTTCTGTGATTGCAACCCTAGTATGAGATGAGGGGAGGTGAAATGGGGGAAATGTCGCCTTCAAGATTATTGCACTTACATTGTGTTTGTTTGTTGTTTGACGCCGCACTCAGCAAATTTTCAAGCTACATGGCAGCGGTCTGTAAGTCATCGAGTCTGGACCAGACAATCCAGTGATAGACAACATGAGCATCGATCCACGCAATTGGGATGCATCAACCAAGTCAGCGAGTCTGACCACCCGATCCCGTAAGTCGCATCTTACAACAAGCATAGTCACCTTTTAGGGCAAGCATACACTTATATTGTGACATGAATGAATGTGTGTGTGTCTGCTACAACTGGTCTGGACTAATGCTGGTTTTATAGTGCTAACCCACTGAGATACCATGCAATAGTTTAAAAAGCATACACAACTCAGGCACAGTATACTGACTCCAAGCCACCCAGTCCTTGTTTTAGCCCCTTAATGCCGACAAGTACCATCTTTTAACGTCTATTGGCATGACACAGCCAGGGATTGAAGCCCCGACCTTCTGCTCTCTGGGCGGACGCTCTACCACTAGACCACAGAGGCAGTAGGTCTGGAAGTAATTCTTTTGAATTAGTAGTATGAACTTGGAGGCCTTGAGGATATGAAGAAGGATCTGCATCTAGTTTTGCCCCTATTCAGGGACCTACTCTACCCCAGAACACAGATTGGATAATGAAAATAGATTCTAAAATAAGAACATCGATATGAATGTTATATGTATCTAAGCAGTATTTGTTATGGATGCTATGCTACTATGACCTGTATAATGGTGATGTTTGGTGATGTATTATAATGTATTATAATGTATTATGATGTATTGTGGTGTATGGTCATGTATTGCGAGGGCTTCCACTGAGAGAGGAGACCTACCGAATGTCGGTGAAGATGAGGAGGTGTTCACAGTCACCCTGATGCTGGTAGAAGTAGGGTTTGCCCACCACAAGGTCTAGGTCAAGGAAAGTTGTGTCCTCCATCTTGGCTTTCTCAAAAGGACCAATCCTGTCCCATCTATTCTCCTGACTGACCCACTCTGTTATGATTCTAAAAATAAACATTTAACAAATATGAATACTTCTGGTAGCAAATGAATAAAACAGCTGCTTCATAGGCATCAGCTTCAGGGAAATCAATGTATCATGGCTGCCTCTTTAGGCCAAAACACAGGCTAATGCGCAGAGGAACTAAACAATGAATATAGTACTTAGTCCATAACTACTAATACTTTCTAACCCGTGAAGATCCGGGGTAGAAAAGGTCTTCAGCAACCCATGCTTGCCTTAAAAAGAGACTTGCTTGTCGTAAGAGGCAACTAACGGGATCGGGTGGTCAGACTCGCTGACCTGGTTGATGCATGTCATCGTATCCAAATTACATGGATCGATGCTCATGATGTCAATCACTGGATTGTGTGGCCCAGCCTTGATTATTTAGAGACCGCCATCATATAGCTGGAATACTGCTGAGAGCAGCGTTTAGCAACAAACAAAACAAAACTGATACTTTCTACGTTCTGTCTCCTCCAACACTGTCAAAGTTGAAATATTTTTCTACTTAACAAATAACACACCTTGCATTAAATGTTGGGGAAAACAATGCTTACAAAATCGCTCATTGCAATTCAAAGGCTCACAAAACTCCTGCTATCCTACTTCACATGCTCAGTAGAAAAGAAACCGTAAAGAGATAATTGTTGTCAATATGGCAGATATTCAGTGACTGTTGGTTGCCAGAAGGTGGGCTACACAGACATACTCACTGGCTGTAGTCTCGGTTGTCAGGATAGCGCAGATCATTGTAGAAGGTTCCTTCGATGAAGAAAAACCCTGACTTGTAAATATCCTACAAAACATGTATGCAATACGTCACTGAGTAGTTTGGTTATTTCAAGTATCAAAAACATGAAAATATACAAGTTTGGAAGTTAAAACATTTTCATGGGTTTCACTGGAGATGAGTTTGCTTTTCAATTGCAGTGAAACATCGTTGTGTCGAACTTTGATGTGTCAAATTTTCGGTTGTCCCGAAGTAAAAACTCGGTCCCTGTGCATTCCTTCTTTATTTATCATTTTCGGTTGAGTCGAACCGCGCATAACTCGGAGTATTTAAGTAGGTCTCCTTCCACTTCGACACAACAGTGTTTGACTGTATATGCATTTACTTGAAAGGTCAATCAGAAAGTGAAAACAGAATGGCATCCTGTGACAAGAGCTCACTTTGTATCATGGACAAGCATTTGAAATCATAAACACAACCTAATACACAGGTAACGTTAGAGGACTGTCAGGATAACAACAAGCCCATATATAGGCAATGATGGAGGACCCTTTAGGATAACTTTAACACCATATAAGGGCAACGTTAGAGGACCGTCATGATAACTACAACACCATAAAAGGGCAATGTTGGAGGACTGTCAAGATAACTACAACACCATATATGGGCAATGTTGGAGGACCTTCAGGATAACAACAAGCCCATACATGGGCAACGTTAGAGGACCGTCATGATAACTACACACCATATATGGGCAATGTTGGAGGACCTTCTGGATAACTACAAGCCTATATATGGGCAATGATGGAGGACCGTCATGATAACTACAACACCATAAAAGGGCAATGTTGGAGGACCGTCAAGATATCTACAAGCCCATATATGGGCAATGATGGAGGACGCTTTAGGATAACTACAACACCATATATGGGCAATGTTGGAGGACCGTCAACATAACTACAAGCCCATATATGGGCAATGTTAGAGGACTGCCAGGATAACTATAACACTTATTCCAATGTTGAATCTGTACAAAACACATGAGCTTCACCTTTGCATATGTGAACTGTGTGACGTCTGGGTGTGCACTGTGATCGCCGCTGACAGCGTAGTCGTTGGAACACCTGATGACGTCGCGCAGCTCACTGAGTCTGTGGCTGCCAAGGACCAGGTAGGTCTCCGACATGACCAACTACAAACACAGGCCAATACATGTATCCTAGGTGTGGGGAGTGGTTCATACACACCAGAGGTCAGACAATCAGTCAAGATGCAGTAAATTCCATATTTATGGTCTCAAGATAATGGCAATAATGGCAAGATAATGGAATAAAATGGAATAAAACCAGGTCTTTGAAAGGCAATTATACATATAAGGAAGATAATTATGGATGCCAACTTCTTTATTATGAGGAACACAATGTTTCGGAGTATATGCTTACTCCTTCATTAGGTGAATGAATGCCATGAGGCAGAGAGCATATATATGTACATGTAAGGACAACTCAATGACGTCAGGACAAATTAGTCAGTTAATCAGAAGACATTTTTGTAACAAACAACTAAACATTTCATTAAAGAAGTTAGAATTCCATGTCCTCACCCGTGAACTTGGCTGATTGCGATACGGCTTGTGGACTTGGACTGTCAGCACAACGTTGGGTTCCCTGACCTTGGTGTCAACGCCATCTGGTGCCGGATAGCTGAATTTCTCCTCTGTCTAACAGAAACACATAAACATCTACAGACATCAGGGGGAAATATTTTTCCAGTCGTATCAGTCTCTGTCTGTGTCACGTTTAGGCATGTTCAGAAGAAGGAGCTTCTCTTTGTTGTTAGATACATCTTGATGAGTTTTATTACCAGTTACAAATTTAAACAAGAGTTTGCCACTAACATGGCTATATCCCCCGCATCTGTTTCAGAATTTATGACATGATTAAATCTAAACAAACCCTCATCTTTTTTAACCGAGGTGAAACTTGTCATGGAAATTGTGAAAAAAAGAAGAGTTTGGAACCTAAGTCCATCTTGTTGCCATGGAAACGTAAAAAATAAAAATTTATAAAATTCATAAATAGCAAAAGGCACCAGTTCAGTATGTACCTGACAGACCTGCAAAGTTTCATGAAAAAGTATTGAACGGTTAATGAGTTATGCTCCGGAAACGAAACGTGACAGACGTATGGACGGACGGAGCCCGTATCTATATCCCCCACCAACTTTGTTGGGCCGGGGATACTAAAAAATAACCTAAGGAAATGATGGGCCATGAGATACTGGCACATCCTGTTTGCCATACTACTTCCCAAGCCAGGGATATGGGCCAGGTTTCCCTCATCCGAAAAAGGAATGCAAGTTGTGCTGTTGAGACATTTTGGATGTGTCACATACTCACTGTCCGAGTCAAATCGTCAATTGTCTCACGCAATATTTGACATGGGTAGTAGTTTGTTTAGTAAACAACGAATAACAACCAAGCAAAACATGTTTGTTACACAGAATGTTACAGTCACTCAAACAAGAAGGGGGATAACTTTAGTCTTGCACCACTGACTTGTTAAGGATATTTTTATTTTTTTTATATTTTAGACGGCCGTAAAATTTTGCTGGCCACAGGCTAGTGGGCAGCGTCTATTTTGAAGACTGAAAATGTTTAAATTTGCACCACAATGAAGTTATGTTTATCTCCTACAGGAGGTGAGATAAATGGGGCCCAGGGCTCTGGATTGCATTATATAAACAAGGGCAGATACAGCATTTTTTAAAGGGAGGGGTCCAAAATATCAAACTCCTCTCAGATAATTTTACTGCCTACATCATACTACATTTGGTTTTCAAAAGGGAGGGGTCCGGGCCCCCTGAACCCCCTCTGGATCAGCCTATGATAACACATGCACCTGTGCATCCCAAAATAGAGAAACGCAACATTATATTTATGACCACATGCACCAAGTGCACGTAACAAAAAATCATTTGTTTTGTCTGACTAACCCTTACTTGTCCACACATCTTTGAACACCCTCACTGACTTTATTAACCTCACTACATCACTAATCCCTGCGTTATGTGTAATTCATGACACATGACCTTTTTTATGCATCTGTGTTTCAACTTTGAAAAGGTTATGGGTGTAACCTTTTTTTTGTCTGGTGCAACTAGCTTTTCATGTCAATATGCACCTAGTGCAAGCTAAATCAAGTGCCTTAAATCGTACCCTGTGTTTTTACATCGCTTTCTAAGATTATCACATTCATATAGCAATGTGCATGCATGCATGAGTTTGCCTGACTGTACTAGACCAGACTTACATCAGTCTTATTGTGCTTGACACACTGAATACCATGCCATAATATGACATGGATACCCCACTCAGTGCCACCCAGCAAGTACTATCTTATGACATCCTTTGGCATGACACGGCCAGAGGATCAAACCACAGACTTTCCGCTCTCTGGTCAGATGCCCTAACCATGTCTTCTACACAAGACTAGACACAATACTCTAGTCGGAGACTAGACACAGTACTCTAGTCTGTGTCACAGTCCCAGAACCCTATAACTTCCACTCAACTCTTACTGTAATGCTATAGTCATAATGAAGCAAGTCCAGGTTTTCAACAGGCTCTGAATCTTGCATTTCACCGGGGCTCCTTTTTAATTAAAATGTTGTTTGTTCTATCAAAATTACATAATCTCAGAGACTAAGCAATAGTCTAATGACACACAAGCATAGAAGATAAGGAGTAAGCTACCTTGAAATATCGATACCAGTCAACATAGTTGTACTTCATCTTCCGTAGAATATGATTGTGATATGTCGGGTTCTTCATCCTCTTGTCCAGCTCTGCTGCTTGGTTCCTGGGAAAAGAAAGTTGGTTTGGTTGGTTTGTTGTTTAACGCCGCACTCAGCAATATTCCAGGTATATGACAGCGGTCTGTAAATAATCGAGTCTGGAGCAGACAATCCAGTGATTGAAATCATGAGCATCGATCCACGCAATTGGGATCGATGACATGCATCAACCAAGTCAGCGAGCCTGACCACCCGATCCCGTTAGTTGCCTTTTATGACAAGCATGGGTTGCTGAAGACCTATTCTAGCCCGGAATCTTCACAGGTCGGGGGAAAAGAAAGCATCGGCTTCACTGGTTTCCGGTTTTCGTGACTTTAAACCTGTTCAAAATCAGACTTCCCACACAGCAAAAGACTGCAATATTGGTATCACTGTCGGCAGCTTATGAGCATACACCTGTACACAGGTGTCAAGATCAAATGCACCTTTGTAGGGCTTGGAAGAGTCCAAATTTACTACCCACGTATCCGACCCCCTATGACCAAATCCTACCTAGGTACACGCTGTTGGTCTCAAGTGTTTTACTGGAACCATGGCAAAAACTATTTAGATACACATATAAAATGATCTGATCATGCATACACTGAAGTTGAGTTTTACCCACACATAAATGTCAGAATGACTGTGTGTTTAGTCAGAGAGAATGCTAACATCATCGATGTGTAGTGTAACCATGGAATTTTATTGTTTTTGCAGTTGAACATAGATCACATGACTGACCATGGGTCCTGGTTGTCCTACTCAGGACACAAGCCACCCGAGTAACCGAGTTACCCATCCCAGCTGTAATGTACTGGAAATTGGTTGGAATCTCATCACTGATCATGTTGCAGTGCCGTAGCCAGCCGGGGGGCAGTTGCCCCCCTAATTTTTTTGTAGAAAACAGTTTTATTTGAATCAAGTTGGGGATAAGTGATACTTGTACAAATATTTGCCCCCCCTGTCAAAAAAAGTTAACTACGCCCTTGTGTTGATCATTGGTTTATTGGCATGTTACATCTGATCAATCTAGATCATAAACAAAAAAATTTAACGAATTCTGTATTTTCTAGCAGTTCACATGTCAAAATGCCTGATTTTATCATGATTTGAAATAAAAAATAATTATTGCTAAAGAAAAAGGCCTGAATGTTTTGTGTGTTTATGTGCAATGCAGTTACCATGGTTACATTTAATCACATCGGGATCAAATAAAATGTAAAACTTAAAACAACAGTTGCATGTTTATAAACATTTTCCCTTCAATCAATTATTGACACCTACAATTATGTTACATCTAAAATAATGAATGCATTTTGATAAAGCATTCAAAATGCAAGGGTGTCCTTGAGGATTGCTCCTATATCATCACTGGAGTCACACTCGAATGGGCGTGTCACAGTGATGGAATTAATTAGTGTCAAGTGCTTCCCTGAGTACCGCGGAGTGCACCAGTGACGTGTACAAGAGGCGGTATACCGTCTCACGTGCACATTACGTCTGTGACTGATTATCTGAATTTAGGGACCCCATGAAATTGTAATTTTTAACATTTGGGCATTGACAAGTACCCCGTGACTTTCATAAGACAGCGATAGAAATTGGAATTGTCCTGTAGTCCTTGCCAAACTGCCCAATAATTAAGGTATCCTAAGGACTAGTAAAAATTTGCCCTTTTTAGGGGTTTTGCTAAATGTTGTCATCATAAGGACTAGTGGGCTAAAACTGTTAGTTTCTATCGCTGTGAGACCACTGTTAGTATAACCAATCATCAGAACATATTAATACTCACTTTAAGGTTGTCAGGTCGATATCACTTGGAACAGTCTCGTACATGACTTTCCTGTCAAGGGTGTCGCTGCTACTCATCAGGGTTTCAGGGCTGTAGGACAGACACAGTGGCTTCTAATGAGTTTCACAATAACCGATCTCGTTAAAATCAGATCTTAGTTCTCGCTATTGCTAAACAAAGATCTGAGGACATCCCATTACGGGTCACGTCAGAACGATGTTTCATCCAACCAATCAGAGCGTCGCTTACCAGATCATGAAAGTGACAGTCGGAATGTGTTTTCTAATCATGCAACCACGAAATAATTAACACGGGGTATTCCGAATGACAGTTACAGGTTTTATGATTATGTCCATACAATCTAGGCCACCTGTAAATCATTCCAGAATGTTCTTATCAGTTTTAAATTTTTTAATCGAGAACATGTCAAAATATGTTTCGAAACTAGTGTCGTAAAGCTTGAGAAAGCTACCTTCTGATTGGCTAATGTCGATTTCTTGTCAGTCATTTCATTAGTCGATCAAAGGTCGTTCTGACGTGACCCGTAATGGGATGTCCTCAGATCTTCGTTTAGCGGTAGCGAAAACTAAGATCTGATTTTAATGAGATTGCACTATAACTAGCAACAGTATTCACAGGGCCAAGGTTGGTGATATTGTTAACACTATTTGTTCATAACTATTTGACTTGACTATTATACTTCATTTGACCTACGACTTGAGATGCACCATTTGTCTCGTGCAGGAATAACGTGTAAAATTTGGAAATCACATGCAGCATGTTGCATATCGTGATAAGATTAAAGACACTCTTTGGTAACACTTGACAGATTGTTAAGTTTTGTTCTCAATTAGTATACACTGGAAACATCTCTTCTTAACATACATATTCCTCTAATGTTTCTATTGTTTGCCTTTCTTTTGGTAGTGAGTATATATATACTGTTAAGACCAAATTAGTTGGTACACCTTGACACTCTTCTGTTTTTATTCGTATACCACAGCATAATGTGTTCAGTTCAGTTCAGTGGCCAGTTCAGGGGACCAGTACTACAGTAATCAATCCAAGTTGGAATGCGGTGAATTTGTAGTCACTGCCAACTCGTAGACAGAATTTACGGTGAATTCGTACACAAACCAGGAGTGAATTTGTAGTTACATTTGTTGTATTGGAATTGAATGACAATATTTACCATCTGTTCTTTCACTCACCTCAACAGTGTTTTGGGTTTTACTTTGTAACTGCTATTATAAATACATAATACAGAAAGAGGATCATTCAGTAATTGTTGAGCGGGGTGGATTACTGTAATAATTTCTGTAAATCTGGAAAGTATAAATTATTGTGAGTGGCTAACATTAACTGTAACTGTCTGAAAAGATTTGTGACACCCTGTTGATGAGATAAAAGCTAATTTGCATGTTGCTATCTTTATAAGTAGTAGCAGAGACCATATATCTATTATATGGTCTCCGGTAGTAGGCATTTTTAGGAAATGGTAACTCTTGTGACAGTGTCAGTCAGTGATTTTTAGACCATAGATACATGTCTTGTTGTAATGGTCTAATTGACAGGGTGGATTGGAGTTGTGTGTTTATCGAACAGCAAAGACTGGCTTGCATCTGTCTGGACTACTCAGTGATATGCATGCAACTTGACGAGATGTGGGAGATTAATTTACTAAGCTTTCTTGATTAGACTATTGACACTGAGTGACCATATGAAATTAAGGTAACAGGGTGTGAGAGATTATTCATTTAATCATGTATTGACTGGTTTGACAATGTGTGAAATGAATAAAAGAAACATGCCTCCTTCATTTTAGTTGTTTGTTATTGGTCTGCCAAAATAACTGCATCAATAAACTATTGCAAGTGTGTGTCACTCGCAGTTTTCACAGTACTTTCCTGTTCGCAAATATTTCCAGATGGACAATATTTTGTTGTGATAGGATTTGCAGGATCCTTTGTAACTATCATAAATAAATGATCAGCTAAGTATCTACAAGCTGAGATGTACAGTTGGTCAGAAGTGAGGATCTATGCTGAAGGAGATTAATTGTCGCTTCCGCATCTATCGCTATTAAAGGTAACTGGCAGAACTTGCATGACATTTGGTTCGAAATGGACAACTGTGTAAAATACGAGCAAGAAGTAAGGAAGCGTCATAATGCATGAAATTTTTATTTTCATTCAAAATTGAAGACTTTTTCGTAAGAAATATTTTATTATTCAGTTATATTTCTCTATTGTATTTTGTATTGTACGTTTCACCGTAAATTTTGTCTACAAGATGGGATTGGCGACAAATTCTCCAAGGCTACTAATTGGTTTGGTTACAAATTCACCTGCAGCCATTCGTTGATACAAGCCCATGTTATCTGTAATGTCTTAAGATTGCCAACATCTTCGACCCTCCCACAGGCCTATATGGATAGGTTATGCGCAGGAACTTTTTTTAGAATTCTTAACTTTAACAATCTCTCATGTATGTGGAGTATTTTGTATAAACCAAACTCGTCATCTATTTCTACGGTACGATATCTCTTCACAGCATTAAAATCAGATCTTTTACGATACAAAGTTTGTTTAACACGGGGACGTTATCACAAACATGTCGAAGACAGCGGACTTGCCTGCACACTTCAGATACTTCTTTGACAGTGTCAGTCGGAACGTTCATCATGGCTGATATAGATTCAATCTCGCTATCATTTGCAATATTTGAATATTTAATCTGGTCGCCCCATTGCTCAAGAAACTGTCGAACGTTAACCCTGTTTTCCCCGGTTTCTGAAGCCATGGGGGTCGCCATTTTGTATGCTAAAATATGGAATGTTCAATTTAAAGCGAATATAGTTCTAGAGTCCATGATATTGTTATATGCGGAGTCAACAATCCCCGGTAGTAATCTGAAATAATAAGCTTAACACATATTTGAAGTTTGATACGAATTTATATCTGAAAAAGTATTATTCAAGAAGTATGAAATCACAGCAACAGGTGCCCGATGTCATACATTTGATTTGAACCTTTTCGATTACCCGAGGAAAAACTATTCAGGGGGTTGTCTGGACCCTCAATTGGTCTTTTGCATGACTACGATAGAATAAAGATTTCAGTAAATTTAATCACAATCATGTTGTTGAAAGACTAGTTATTTACAAAATCAAATGGTAACGGTGTTGATTTATTAATCGATATTGAATATAAAGTACTAAGAGTGAACCTACCTATCCCCGCTTGAGGCAAGTGGATTATTCCTGACTCAAAATTTGGCGGTAAATAATAATACTAAGGCTGGTGTTTGTTGTTGCTGTTACAAGTAATAATCTGGTAGGTTCACATTTTATTTATAATGTGTGCTGGTTTTCGTACATTCGCCTGCAAAAGTCAAATAATCGAAAATAAATTCTATTTCACTTTTACCACGATCATGATCTGATTATTATTTATTAGATCCAAACTCGACATCAAGTCCGTGTCCCAGATAGGCACATCAAAGCTGTACTTGTGCGCCGTCAGTGGTGTGCCCTGCTGATATATGATGGTCCAACGGCTGCAACCACAAACGGTGGTAAGCCAGTGGCCCACCCGTGGCAAGCAACTACACCATAACCCCATGGGGACCCTGGGTAGAATGTGACTCCAAACTCCATTGGTGGTCATAAGAAGCGATCGAATTGGGCTACCCATGAAAATCCTGATTAGAATAGATGTTCAGCAACTCATGCTTGTCGGATAGGATGGCCAGGTTTGGTAACTTGGTTGATACATGTCACCACATACCAATTCCGTAGATTGATGCTCATGATGTCAATCACTAATGGGCGATCTATTTCAATTGATCTTCCCGTCACTAACTCGCTAGGTGCGCTGATCCGCACATCTTCCTGGGCCAAGAGAGTTAACTGACTATAAAAGTCCATTTTCCACCCTTGCCGAACTAGGCTGGTATTATGGAGTTACATTTTGGCTGGACTAACGAGTCTGTGTATAGTCCAATCAAATTTGCGAAACCGAAATCAAAATCCGGTTTGTAAACTGTCATGAAGATTTCGGTCGATTGCAGGATTTGGACAGCATGTGCACCTCAACTCGTCAGATATTTTCCAAATCTTTTCATATTGTTAATCAAGGTGCTCATGTGATTTGATGCATTTCGTGATGTAAGACCCGTTTTATCACAATATAGATCTTGATTATCGATCAGATTGTTTTGACAGGGCGCCTCCATTTTGTGTGAAGCAAATGCAAGTGATACGAGAGGTGGAATTTGATTGGTCCATAGGAAGCAGTGATTTTGACACAAAAGGCTGTATACAGGTCAATGACTTGGACCTAAAAAATGTAATAAGTTAATGGCAAAAGTCAAAAAGTCAAATAAACAAAGATGGCAGATGCAGTAAAATTTCAACGTTACATCACTCCTTTAAATAAAAATCGGGCATAGATTCAGTGGGAAAACATTGTGATGGGTTTCCGGATGCTGAAGAAACATTCATTGTTTTTTCGCTCATGACATGAACAACTGTAAAACATCTCATTCACTTATAACGGACAACTTTATGATAAAAACACACCATCATCTGAGTATTTACAATTTCTGTTTGACGCCAGACCTCTCGATATAGTGCAAGTATTTGTGATAGAGAACGTATGTCCGAAAAACCTGTGATCCGACAATAGTAGTATTGTGTCATGAATAAGAATAAAGGCATACATGATGCTGAAAGCTCTGATCGAAAACAGGACAATATGTGTACTTTACATTCTCTCGATTGACTCAAAACTTCATGAGAGCATTTCATTGGTCATCAAAATCCATACCGTAAGTAGGAATAATCCTTACTATTTACTTTTTAATCATGAAATTATGACATGTGTGACCCCTTGCTTGGCATTTCTATCGGTCAAAAGTCCGACAAATTCAACAAACCATCAGCCAAATTAAAATTTTATCGGTCTATACTGGTGACCGACGGATATCTGAAACTCTATGCAGAGGTTGAAAATTATGGAAAATGTTACTTGACCAAGTGCAAGTATGACCAACAATCCTTCTTGCATTATTTCAAAATGTACTTGCCCAAAATCAAGCTAATAAATTCAGTGAAACATTTCTGTTTCAGAACTGATATACACCTCCATGGAGGTAATATGCAATAACAGAATGCAGTAATACAGTATTTGTATAACTTCTGCATTGTCTGTTCGTTGTTATTTTGTACCACTTTCATGACAGTGCTGTATGTAGGACCAGACAGCAGCGACGTCACATCACTGCAGCCGCATGTACTCCCTGTACTTCTACATAGAGCAGGGGCGGTCGGGTAGCCTAGTGGTTAAGGCGTTGGATCGTCACGCCAAAGACCCGGGTTTGATTCCCGACATGGGTACAATGTGTGAAGCCCATTTCTGGTGTCCCCCGCCGTGATATTGCTGGAATATTGCTAAAAGCGGTGTAAAACCATACTCACTCACTCACACACTCACTCTACATAGAGCATCCTTCTCATATGACACACACTCCAAATGTACATCTGAAATGTTGTCCTTTTCAAATACTCATTTATGAAATTTGAACATCCATCAATAAAAGTTCTTTTTCGATTGCGAGCTTATATATTTGGATACTTCAAAAGACGTATTCAATAAAACATTTCATCAAAGCATGACCTGACAAAGCTAGATCATCCTCGCATTATAAATGTCTAGAAATGTAGTCAACTGTCCGTATTCCATTTTCTAGAAGTGTGTGCCGTATATGGAAGGGTTGCTATGATTTATCAGTGAAACAAGACTGGTCCTTTTCGTTGTCCTGCCTGACATCGACGTATATTAATCTCATTGGCTGACTGGTGTAGCTGTATGCATATTAGATTGCTTGTCTAGGACATTAGCAACATATTATCTAATCAAAAATAACTACATGTGGAGATTGCACATTTTTTTACACCACATAAGTTTACAGAACATACTCTTCTCGCATGTGATTGGATGAACTTGAAGGTCAAGGTCACTCTTTATTTCGGCATAAAAAAGGCTTGTTTACAAGATAACTTGAGTATTAACAATTAGTATTGGCGAAACTTTGAATACATGATCTCCAGGCCGTCCATAACTGAGATTGAAGGTCAAGGTCATTAAACCGGAAGTGCTTATCATTTTGTCATTAGGATAGCATAGGACTTTCGATTTTTGATGTACTGCATTGACCATGTATTTTCCCAAATCAATAGTGATGTTATTAAAGCAGAAGTGCTTATAACTTTGCTATTTGGGTAGCTGGAGGTGTGGCACTTTCTCTTTCAAAGTTGTACTGCATTGGGCATGTGTGAGGTCAACAGTCACCTTAAGTGGTCAAGTCAAATGGTTCATGTTAATGTTTCTGGACCCGTGAAGATCAGGGGTAGAATAGGTCTTTATAAACTGAAACTTACAGGAAACGGCGACTGTGCTTGTCGTAAGATCGGGTGGTCAGGCTTGCTGAGTTGGTTGATACATGTCATTGTATCCCAATTGCGTGGATCAATGCTAATGATGTCAATCACTGGATTGTCTAGTCCAGACTTGATTATTTACAGACCGCTGTCATATAGCTGGAATATTGCTGAGTGCTGCATTAAACAACCAAAGAAGCAAAACAAACAAACATGTTTCTGATGGGAAAGTTTTTGTTGCATTCAGGAAATGATGGCGATGGGTCTGCTTCTTTTTTTGCATGTAATGGAAACAACTGTCTTGTTTTGTGATAATTTCTTGTATCAGTAAATGTGGGTCAGGTGATTGAACACACTAGCAGAAACAGTCGTGGATCCTTCACTTGAAGGCTTAAAGCTATTAATCAACTGTCCACTGTGCCTGTTAGTTGCTGGTAGTGGAATGATTCTCAACATGAGTGTCCCTGCCTCAGTCTGTTTCACACCCACTGATAACCTCAATCCATTTTAATTTTCTCTGCTTCTAAATATACACTCACCTGTCTGTTATGCCTCCTTGCTTATAAAGCTGAATTCAACTATTTCACTCATTCATGAGGCCTCTTGGAGGTTTTGTTTCTGAGGTGGCTCAGTTGTTAGTATTTGTGAAGTTTGTTTTCAGTAGTGACTGTTATTTGTTGATGTTTCTGAGCAAGGTTTTGAGAGAGACAATGGCATTCAGACATTTTCACGATATTTATCATCTCTTAATAAAAATATATTCTTCTTTAACATAACCAATTTTGAATAAGATGATCTGAAGGAGATTTTGGAATAAAATCAGGCACTGGCCCAGATAATTAACTGATCTGAAACCCTGTTGTATATGGGTCTCTGTTTGATAGCTACAGACCGCCTCCGTGGTGTAGTGGTAGAACGTCTGCCCGGATAGCGGAAGGTCTGGGGTTTGATCCCTGGGCCGCATCATACCAAAAGACGTTAAAAGATGGTACTTGTTGTTACCCTGTCTGGCGCTCGGCATTAAGGGGCTAAAACAAGGACTGGTCGGCTCGGAGTCAGTATACTGTGTCTGAGTGGGGTATTCATGTTAAACTGCGGCATGGTATCTCAGTGAGCTAGCACTATAAATCGGCATCAATCCGAACTAGTACAAGCAGCCACACAAACACACACGTACATGCATGTCGCTATATAAGTGCAATAATCTTGGATGTGATGTTAAACCCCTTTTCACCTCACCTCACCTTGACAGCTATAACATTTCACTGATGGCGGTGCAGGTGTCACGACTTGGGGATTTACCATGACTTAGAAAAGTGGGGGTCCAGGGAACCCCCGATGATTAGTGTTGAGGGTCCTTGCCGGCAATATGAGGGTAAAGTAAT